AATAATTATATTTTTAATATCCATGAAAGCTTTTGTTGTTTTAATATACAATTTTTTGCTAAATGATTTTTTGTTTTTCAATATTGATAACAATAATTTTGATATTTAGATGGAATTGATAAACAATTTTGGATCAAATGTCTATAATTTTTACAAAATATATATATTTTGTTAAATATTTGATGGGAAGATTCAGTTGATGGATTTGTAATTATTATCAATAATCTATCAGTTGATTATTTTTGAATTTCTGTGATATTTTGATTGTGTTTACTTGTATCTCTATTATACTTGACATACCATATTTTTGGATATAAGATATATTAGATATCATAGTTTTTTGAATTTCTTTAATAGCTTCTATGATCTTAAATAAATATTTAATAATTATTTTGTATATATAATAAAATATTTTATTTATATATATATATACATATTCATTTTTTTTATCTATCTTCATTTTTATAAATAGGATACTTTAGCTTCTAATACTTTTATAAAATAGAATATTATAATTTAATTTTTATCCTTATAACAAAATCAGAATCTAACTTATGTTACCTTGCTAATTTTATATTTCTAAAATAATCTGATAATTTTGTTTCTAATGGATTTGATTTTTAAAAAATCAAGAACATAATTAAAAACAAAAATATATATATTTTTTATAGATTATTAATTTTAATTTTGATTGGTTATTTTTAAATATTAATTATTATTGATTAATCAGATTTGATATTTAAATTTTTGATAATGCAAGACTTTTGCGAGCTACTATATATTTGATATTATTATTAATAATTAAAAAAAAAATTTTATAAAAAATAAATAACAATAATATTAAAAAATAAGAAAAAAATTATATAATATATCAATTTTTATTTTTCATCAAATTTTCAAGTAATAAAAAAATTTTTCTGAAAAGAAAACTATGATTTTTTTATTTTAACTTTAATTAAATAAGATTTTAAAAAAACTTTTTATTTTGATTAAGTATATATATTTATAAAAAAATATTTTTAAAAAAACTTGTAAAAATAAAAAAATATTTTATTTAAATTTATCTTTTTTAAAAGATAATTATTAACTTAAATAAAAGTTTTTCAAAAAGTTTTAAATATTTTTTATTTTTATTTTATTTTTTAATATATTAATTTAATAATTTATTATTTTTTAAATTAATATATATTGACAAACTTTTATAATAATTTAAATAAATAAAAACTATTAATGTAAATCTATTAGAAAGTAAAATATTATTCTTAAATTTGATTTAAAGTATCTAGTTAAGAATTTGTTTTGTTTAATTTGAACTAGTTTAATAAACTTTTTATATTTTTAAAATAATATAATAAAATTTATTTAAATATAGCTTTATTAAATATAACTACTAAGTTTAATTTTTTATATACAATTGTTATTATAATTTTAAATTATAAGTTAAATAAAAAGTTTATCTTCTATAAATACAAAACTTCTATAAATATAAAATTTTTTAAATTTATTATTACATTTAAAGAGATTTTACTATATAGTTTTTCAACCAATCATTGTAAAAGTATTACATCCTTTCTACTCATTTTTTAATTATATACAAAAAAGATATTCACAAGAAATTTTTATATTTCTTGACTAATAAAGTCTTATTACCTTTTTTAAACCAACTTGAAACAATACTTCAAGAGTTATTTTTACCTCCTCCTTCCTTTTATAAATATTTTCTTCAAACAAAAACCTAACTTTTGATAACTAAAGTCATGAATACACCTTTCTTATCAATGGTAAGAAAGTTTTGAAAGGAAGAAGAACTGAAGTGCTACTATTTATTCATCTATTAGAAAAACAATATAGAGTTTTTTTAATAATGAGAGACTTATCTTAAAGGCAACACCCACTTTCTTATCATATGTTTACTCTAAGAATACTTTTTCTCAATTTTTTTGGAGGAATTTTACCTATATCAGTTTGATCCTAAATTTTGAGTAGCACAAAGTTTTTCAAACAATAATTGGTCAGTAGAAAACATATCAATAAAAGAATATAAACAAGCCCCTATTGGTCACATCACATGTTTGAATGTATTTTCTTAACTCTATAAGAACCTGAGATTCATCTTAAGACACTAGGCTATAATGCAAGTGGATATAGGACACAATCTCTTCTATATCAGTATTTTAATTAAAAAAGACCCTCAACAATACATTATATGAATCTATCAAGTGAAACTATATCTATAACAAAACTCAAGGATACATAGAAAGAAAATAATGTCTAAGAAGTATCAAACTATCTTTTAGAAATATTAGATTAGTAGGCTGAAAGATTTATTATTCATATCAATAAAAAAATAGAACCAATGTATAGTCTGAAGAAAAAAGAATTATGGTTCAATTTCTTAAGATAGTAGTACTCTAGGGAAAACAGTATAATATTTATCAAATCCAATAAAGCATAAGTCAAATATGTCAAAACTTTTTTTTCTAGAATAGAATCATCACAATGGCAAAGAAGAACAAGTTATTGAATAATAGGTCTCTCTCTCTTAGTGCTTATATAGTCTAAGGAAAGACATTTTAACAGTATTATAAAACTACTTTTCTCCTATATTTTAAAACCCTCTTGTAATCCTGACTTATTATTATCTGGAAGAACATTGACAAAGGTTCTATACTAGATAGGATAAGATAGAAATAAAAAAAAAAGACTGGAGTTGAAAGACAAGAAACTATAACATGGCTGTATTGAAAGCAATTGAAGAAGAGGTATTATGATCTGAATTAATGAAGTCCTTAAAAAGTAATCAGCTGATAATACAAAAGTGATAGTAGTAATGTGACTTTCGAATTACTTCATATCAAGATCAACACCCCTTTTCCATCAGTACTTTTTTGTTGTATGCAAAGTCTTCTTCCCTATTTAATCTTGCATAGTTTTATTTATAGTTATAATCTAATTTGAAAGATGGAATTATAGTAATTGGATAGTTATTATAATTATCATATTCAAATCTGAGGAATACATTAATATGAACACAAATATAATAGATTCTTTCTTAATTTTTCTTGCACTAATAGATCCTTTTACTAACCTCTTTGTTTCAAAAAAAGGTGGCACTGCCATGAAGTAGATTTTTTCTTATCGAAGTTTTACTTGAAAATTAGAAGTAATTTATCTATATAATGTATATAATATCTACTATATTCAAATAAAACAAGGTTGTGCTAGCATTAAAAAAAAATAATAATAATTTTTCAACTAATAATGTATAATGATAAATTAATTGTCATATAAAAGTCATAAAACATTGTAGATATCTATTTGATGTCTAGATAAAAATATGCCATAATGACATGATTGTAAATTAAAATAAATAAATAAATAAATTATTAAAAATAAAATCAAAATAAATCCATAATAATTAATAAACAGTTTATATTAACCTAATCACAGGTTTAAAAAAAAAACAATGTTTTTTTTTAAATAATTTTGAAATATATGCATAAGTTCAATACAATAGTCTTTGAATTTAAATTTATTGAATATTAGAATACAAAAAATATAATCTAATAATATATGCGTACATACTGTATATTCTTTTTAAAAAAAAGAAGGTAATGTTTATTATTAAGAGCTTTAAGAATGTTCGCACGTTGTCGTTCTGGAGAGACCAAATGGATAACCTCGATAGATGGTGCTATTTTTAGACTATCAAAGTTGAAGATTTTGCATGAAGACATGCCAATTGAATTTTTCAAGACTAATTACACGTCAGATTGACGGTCTGCATGTTTTATATAAGTTTGCAGAAAGATATGCATTTCATATCACATTTCCCGCTTTCCTTTGATTATCTCTTATCATTGAATTATCTTGCCAACCAAAATGTACCTCGTAGGTTCATGTCCAAAACTCGAACAATTACTGATGTCCAAATGAGAATAATAGTTCGATGATCATATGCTTCTGGATTTTTCCGCTTAATTCCTCACCCCACATTTAATAACAGTTCATTGAACGTCACCAAATAGGTAAACGGGTAGTAGGCAGCATTACCATACACAGAAAAACAAGCAAACAAGAGGTCTTATCGGAATATATTCCCTCTATGGCTATTCTCTTCCGCCGGCGATAATGATCATGCATTATATATGGCAAGTTCATCTCGCTTTAAATTATATATGGCAGTCGAAATCAACATTAGAACGAAAAAGAGATGGCCAATATAATTCGGGTACGGTCCTCGCGATGCAGGTTTTGGCATTCAACTCGCCAAAATTCTTGTGTTAAGATAATATTTTAGTCGTACCACATTTAATTTAAGTTCTTAATTTGGTCATTGTGTCAAATTGAGCCTAAACTTAAATTTGCCACGATGTCCTATAGCAGATCCAATCCCACATGTTGAGCTGAGTGCATGTTGAAGGTATTGGACAGTTTTGCACGCCGTAAGGTTGCTCCGCATTAATTAATTTTTTTTTTTTAAATCTGGTTATTATGTTTACGTACGTAAACCTTATCATCTTTTATTGAGATCTAAAGTTTTTTTTTTTTTATTTTTATTTTTTATTTTTTGGGTATTAGAAACAGAACTGGTACTCTTTTGGAACATATGCGAAATTGTAGTATATTCTATTTTAGGCAGTCGAAACCACTGACATAATTATCTAAACAGGTTATTCCACTGTATTTTCAACTGTTAGTAAGACCGCCTTTTCTAAACAGCCCCGAAAGTATTTGACATCCATAAGATCGCTAACGCTTAAATACCCGAGTTTTCTTGCTCATCGTACCTCTCGTCCTTCTGTGCCTCAAGGGTCCTTTGGTTCGATTTCTTTGAACTTCCTTTATCTTAAAAATTTTTTTAATTATATTCTTCCCACAAGCACTCTCCTCATTCGTTGTGCTTGCCATAGTCGGTCTTTATTTTCGCTTCCATTCTCCTCGTATTTATACTATCTTTCCGTCACTTTGATATTAGCACTTTACGCGTTTATGCCGCTATGAAGGTATTTTCTTCTCTTTCACTCATGAACAAACTCGGACAAAAAAAAAAAAAACAATTTTTTTTTACACTCACCGTCTTGTCTTGAATTCCAATCAACGTTGTTTTGATTCGCCCTAATCTCGTCTCGTTTTTCCGATCGAAAACAGTTTGGGAAGCAAATCCTGAATCAACAGACCACAGAATGGGCCTCCTATTACATCAACTATAAGGCATTGAAAAAGATTATCAATAGCCTACAAAATCACGAACGATCGTTAACCCCCAATCCCATCACCATCGGAACTTCACGGACCTCTAATTCTGATCTCGTGCAAGCAGATAATTATCCTGAATTTCTACAACAGCAGAAGGCCAACTTCTTTTTTAAACTTGAACGTGAATTGGAAAAAGTAATTTACCTCGCCTCATTGATCAATCGGCATTCCTTATACCACTATTGGCTATTCTCTTATTCTTTGCGTTTTATTTGTCGCATCTCATGCCTACTCTAACTTTTCAATTTCAGGTAAACGCTTTCTATCTTCAAAAAGAAGATGAATTCAAAGTCAGATTACGCACATTGAATGATAAGAAAAGAATCTTATTAGGCAACGAAAGAAGACCTTCTGCTGTTTCCACTTCTCTGATCACTTTAAAGGAGGCATTTCAAAAATTCCAGCAAGATCTTAACAAGTTGCAGGTAAACTACGATCTCTGCAGCTTTTGAATATACATATATATATATATATATATATATATATGCGTATGTGTTCTTAGCCAATCCTTTGGTTCTTCCCTTTTGTCTAGCAATTCGTGGAAATAAATACAACAGGATTTAGTAAAATATTGAAAAAATGGGACAAACGATCCAAATCTAGGACAAAGGAACTTTACCTTGCTGGTCAAGTAAAGATTCAGCCCTTCTTCAATCGAGAAGTTATCGCTGATCTGGCTGATGGCGCTGATAATAGTTTGTCAGAACTTCAGACCCACATTCACGGTTTATCCTCTACTACCCCCTCATCTGCTCCCACCTCTCCTGAACGAAGGTTGTCGATAAGCGAACCCGGGGAACCTGACGTGATGAATGACATTGAAACGGAACTTTTCAGATACATCATGGAAGGCGCAACATCAACTGTACAAGAAATATTGGACAGAGTTCGGCAGCGTCCTAGTGATGAGGACAAAGATATCCTGTCTCGTGTATTCTGGCGTGCATGTTCTGAAGAAAATTCTTCGATCGAATCCATAAATTGTTTGGTCGACACTAACATGGTTAACTTCAAATATATTGACGATATTAGCGATCGGACGTGTTTGCACGAATCCGCCATTTTTGGAAAACTACCGCTAATGAAGATTTGTGTCGAGCACAATGTCAAAGTGAACTGTTCCGACGTCTATGGTCGGAAACCATTACATTACGCTTGCATGTACGGTCATAGTGACGCTGCCACGTATCTATTGTCCAAGGGTGCAGATTGTGAATGCTTTGATCATGACGGATTCAGCCCTCTAATTTATGCCATTACAAACGGTCACACTAAATGTGTAGAGATTTTGCTCGAGAAAGGTGCCATCATCGAACCACATAGTGGGAAAGGTCATAATCACATTCCCCTATCATTGGCATGTCAATTTGGCCACAAAGACATAGCCTTATTGTTACTTGCCAAGGGTGCACGAATTATAGCCGATGCAGATGGTCTTTTCCCCCTGCACTTGACATCTCGCAAGGGTCACCATGAACTATCCAAAATCCTAACAGAATACGGTGATTTCTTGAACACACCTGACAATGAAGGATGGTCACCTATCTTCTACGCTGCAAGTGAAGGTCACGTTGAATGCGTCAACGTGTTGATTCAAGCTGGCTGCCAGGTGAATATAAAGGATTATTTAGGTCGTTCTCCAATCTATTACGCTGCCTGGGAAGGACACATAGAATGTATTGATAAGTTGCATCTAGCCGGTGGACGAGTTGAATCAGAAGATGAGCCGATGGTAGAGGATGCGACAAACCTCCTTGATGATCGTTCAGAAATAAAAAGTGGTATCGATCTGATACCTTCCTTGCGTCTACCACCGCCCATTATGCCCCTTCCAATTTATGGACACAATTACCTGGATAAGAAGTATCATATCCAAATTACGCTCGGACACCCTTCGATCAAACCACAAAGACCACCGGTGCACCTGTACGGTAATAGTCATATCTCATCTTTAAAACTTTTGATTACTCCAAATCCGGGTATGGGAATGGTTCCTCTCAGTATAATATTACCCTTGGGCGATGATCGGAAGGTTTTTTCCTTTCAGATTGATTCCCTGGAAAATTTTTCGTTGGACTTTAATATCTTTCCCACTTTCGGGTCGAAAGTTATTGGAAAAGGTGTTGCATTACCACACGTGTTTGACATTTCAAATGACCGTGAAAGAAGGAATAATTTAGTTGCAGGGGGTACAGGGGGAAAATATATTTGCCCTTTATTTGATACCTACTTGAAAGTTGTCGGAGAATTGTCTTTTGAATTTGCAATTGTGAAACCTTTTCAAGGTGTGCGGCTAGAAATCGGAGGACAGGTGGAAACATATTGGAGGTCATTATTGAAACAACCACCCAATGTCAGCGGAAGTGTATCCTCCTTCGTGACGACCTCTTCCCTATCAGGTGAATACATCCATCTTGTTGTGCAAGTGACGAGGGATATTGTGGCCATTGTTTATCCAGAGTGGATGTTACCAGTGAATGGATTTGATTTAAGTGTATCAGATGTCACATACGAACAATTCAGGTCAATTAATAATGATCGCAAAGAAAATTTTAACCCCTTTAATGCATCAAGTTCTGCCGAATTACAAAAAATGATTCACCAAGCTTACCTCTCCTTGGAAGAAGTTTTGAAGGTTCGTGAGTTCCGTTGTTTATGGGTTACTCTTACACGATTCTTTTTTCTTTGTTTATTTGTTTACCTTTCTTTCACTTTTCCCGGTATTGCAGAAGTTGCCATCAAATATTGGGGTGAATCTCGAAATTAAATATCCTACAGTTTATGAAATGACCCGATACTGGTTTTCCGATATACCCGACATAAATAGTTATGTGGACACTATTCTGCAGACTGTATACGATCACGTGCAAAACAATACAACCAGTAACAATTCGGGATCTTCGAATAAACCTACCAATCGATCCGTGATTTTCTCTTCATTTAACCCCGCGATTTGCACCGCTCTGAATTGGAAACAACCGAACTGTAAGTGTCAAGGTCATTCATTCTTCTCGCGCAATTTCCGTCTAGATATAATCAGATCAAATTTGACTGACACAATCAAACATTTAAAGACGCAGTGTTTTTCAATTCATTCTGCGGATTCGAAAATGAAAACGTTAATCGCGGCAAAAAACGTAAAGAACGAGATGGTGATGGGAATGTTAGCAAAGACGCGGTGTACGAAGATATCAAACGAGATAAACGCTGTACTTCTATCAAAGAAGCCGTCAAATTCGCTAAAATTAACAACCTCTTGGGACTAATTTGCGAAGCAACGTTATTGGTGAGTAGGAAAAAAAATAAAAAAAGAAGCTCTTCATATCTCCAAATATAAAAGGATCGTCAATTATCAATCAGACAATGGTTAACGACTCTTTGTGACTTCAGGTTCGCGTTCCGTCTTTAATAACGAGTGTAAAGCAGTCCGGACTGATATTAACCACGTTCGGGACTGCAAATAACGACTCATGCAATATACGAACACAAGAAAAATACGGCGTCGATGCTGTTGTAATTGAAGGTGTCATCAAGTACAACAGCGTTGACGCGTTTTAAAAAAAGAAAAGAAAAATTAAAACTCTCACTAAATTAATTGTACAAGATGAATTTATTTAAGGACTTTTAAGCGGCTTACCATGTTTTCCCTCATCAAAAAAATTGTTAATATGTAAAAAAAAAAACAATCATATGTAGATATTAACCTTCGTGATAATAGAAATCATCAAATGTAAACTAAAAAAATTTGTTTATATAATAAACGAGAAGTTACTGCTATTCTATCGCAATGCACAAACAAAAAAAAAAAAAAAAAGGTTGATTTTGAGATCTGATATCAAACATTTCAAAATTCGGCGCGTAAATTTGTCCTCGAACCTTCGGCAAGTTGGAACTGAAGAGGAAAAAAGGTTGATGTGCCTTCGTCAATTGCACGTATTTATATTTCTTCAGCTTGCACAAGTAGTCGCACCTATTTTCCATAATTATGACGGATTCACACTCACCCATGCCACTTTCGAACCTTGATCTACTAAATCACGTGAAATTTAAAATACAGTTGCCTTTTTTGAAGCATAAATTAATAATTTCGAAACACTCGCATTTAGCGGCCGAAACTAGCAATGAAGTCACGTGTATGACGACATAAATTCTTCCGGTTGCAATTGACGTATTCCACAGTACTGATCTCTTTTTCAAAATGCCGAAACACGAATTTCTAACGCCAAAGGCTATCGCCAACAGGATTAAGGTTCGTTGGAACATCTCTTTGTCCCCTTTGGCGTTACCTTTTTCCTTTTTTTTTCAAGTAATAACCCTCCTTTTCCATTAGGCGAAAGGCCTTCAAAAGTTGAAATGGTACTGCCAAATGTGCGAGAAACAATGTCGAGATGAGAACGGTTATCAGGTTGGTGTTTTACCCGCCTTTGTATGTATTTGAGCTTGTACTCATGACTCCTTAATTTTCCAGTGTCACATTCGCTCTGAATCACATCTCCGTCAAATGGATCTTCTGAAGGAAAATCCCACAATGTACATACAAGGGTATTCAAAGCAGTTTCATGACGACTTTATCAGGCTGCTTTCTCGAAGGTAAACCGATTTCCTTTGGTTGTTGATATCGGATTCATCATTGCCTTTTAAGTTTATTACATTCAAACTATAATTTTTAAAAAATTTTCCAAGGTGGGGCACTAAGAGAGTTTTCGCAAATCTCGTCTATCAGGAGTACATTTCCGATAGAAATCACATACACATGAACGGTACAATATGGGTAACTCTGACCGAATATGTAAAATATCTTGGGAAAGAGGGCATTTGTAATGTTGATGAAACGCCCAAAGGGTGGTACGTCAGTTGGATCGATAATAGTCCGAAGGCGTTGGCCAGACAGGTAGATTTCATGTGAAAAGACTGCTCAACATCCAATTTCGTTGATCCTTTTCAGTTTAAATTGTAAAATTGGGATATTTTTTATGACTCGTTAAGGAGGCGATTCTGAAGAAGGAACGAGCGGAGAAAGACGAAGCAGAAAGAAATCGAAGGTTAATAGATGAACAAATCGAACGGGCTCGGGGGGAAGCTGAGAACCAAGGGTTAGATGAGACGGTATTGTTCATTCATTCATTTTTTTTTTCATTTTTTTTTGCATTTTCATGTAACGAAATTCCTTTCTTTCACAGAAATTCACTGAGCTTAAAAGAGATAATGAAGATAAGATAAAACTTAGTATTTCTCTCACTAAAGCCGAAACATCCACCCCAACCCCTGCGACGTCCTCCACATCTTTAGCAACTACGCCTGCTACTAATAGTTCTGTTGCCTCGACAACCCACACTAGCATCTCTTTCAATAAACCTGTTTCACAAAAGATGTCCCTTAGTGCTCTGGTAAAAAAATCCAATGCTTTAATGATACCAAAGAAAGAAAAGGAAAAGGCTCCACCAAAAAAGTTGAGCGCAATGGAACAAATTATTCTAGACGAAACAGAAAAAAAGAAAAAATTGGAGAGTCAAAATGGAAACGGAAATGGAAGTAAGGCCAACATCAGGAGAAAGGATGAACTGAAGAGTAGAGATTATAAAGACAGGGATAGCCGAAGGGATTATAGAGAAAGGGATGATATTGATAGGGAAGATAGAGAAAAGGAGCGGGAGTACAGAGAAAAGGATAGAAAACATAGGGAAAGAGGCCGAGATCGGTCGTATGATCGATCATATGACCGAGAGTCCAAAAGGTCACGCAGAGATTGATAGGTAAAAACTTTGATTCTGACTTTTTTCTTCCCTCATTAGGAACGATAGCATTATATTATCAACCTATTGACACTGAATTATTGGTTCGTATCACTTTTCTTTATATGTATATTGTTCTGTTTCTTTCCCTGACACTTTGAAAATGTAATAAAACCTTAGTAAACCTAGGTCTATTTAACAAGCAAAAGTTTCTCTTTAGTTCAAAAGTCAAATTTTCACAGAACTTGTGTCAAACGTGATTGTAAATACGGTATTGAGATCCATTGTTATTAATCTGATGCAGGACGGACATGGATATTCAAACATAAAGGTACACGGTGGTATATTTTAATTCCTCTCTAGATCCAATGGTTCATTCGGAAAAAACAATAAAATGTGCGAATGTATTAGAGTATAAAATGACTATATTGTCAATTTAAATTCAAAAGCCCTATTATGTTAATCTTACATTTTCAACCCTGTAACCAAATGATCAAATAAAATTTACAACAGGTAATATATCTAAAGTTTTAAGTAGTTATATAAAAAACATTATTAGTTATTTATTTTTATTTTTTAATCCATAATTAGATTGTGATGGGATGTTAGTTTTATTAAAAGATTTATAAAAATTTCAATAACTTTTTTATAAAATAACAAACTTATTGTTAATAAAAAATTTAGATTATTTTTTTTTATATATTTAAGTTTGATTTAAGAAACAAAGTTTTGCTTCTTATATAGTTAAGTTCTGTTTAAAAAATTTTTTATTATATTATTATGTATTTTTATTATAACATTAAATAAATATCTAATGAGTTATAAATTTTTATATAATGACTAATTCATTATTATATACTATTAATTAAAAAACTATATTATTTAAAAAATACAAGGAATTTATTAAACTAGTTCGATTAAACAAAACTAAGTTCCATTAAGTTAGATATAAAAAACAATATTATATTTCTCTAATAATTTAATATTTAATTTCTAATTATTAAGATTATCACAAATAGTTTATTACTATTATATTAACTATTTTGAAAACAATAAATTGTTAAATAGAAATTTAATTCTTTTAACAATTTTTTCATAATAAAGATTTATTCAATTGAAATATTTTTTATTTTTATAATATTTAAGAAACTTAACTATTTTTAAATAGTATGACTTCAAAAAAAAATATTTAAATATTTAAAAAACTTATTTTTTTATTAATATACAGATTTATTTTTTGCAATAATTAATATTAAAACTATATTACAAAAGAATTTTTTGATATTTTGCTTCTTTTATAATTTAAATATTCTCTAATCATAAAGTTTTATACTTATAAATTATTATTGTAAATCTTTCAAAGTGCTATCTAATAAATTAAAATCCAATTATCTTTTTTTTATATTATTTATTTTTCAATAACTTTTTTTACATGTATATTATCTTTAAAGTATATAGCCTCAGATATTTTTTTTTTTAATATAAATTGTTTTTTTTTCAAAATCTATTATATCACCAAGAATTTTACTTCTTGAGATTTTGTTTTTTTATTTTTTATTTTTTATATTATATTTATAGTTTTCTATTAATAATTTATAATATTACAATAGCTATTTTAGATTTTAAACTTGAAGCTTTCTTATATTTATTGATAAAATTTCTTGATAGCTTTTCTTATTATAATTAACTTTATTTTGTATTTAATCTAAAAATATTTTTGAATAGCTTTGACTTTATATTTATATATATAGCTACAAGTCAATTTGTAAAGATTTTAATTTTATTATTAAATTATTTGATAGTTTTATTTCAACTAACTTTTTATTTATTTGTTATAATCTACTTCTTTTTAGATTTTTATTCTATCAAAACCCAGTTACTATATAACTTTATTTAAATAAATATTCAATTATTTTATTTTAAATTTTATATCTTTAATAAACTATTATTGAATATATAATATTTCAAGTTTTTTTTTAAAAAATATTTGAAATATAAATAGTTTATTATATATTAAGTTTATAAAAAAACTTTTGTTCTTATTGATTTTGAAAAATATAAAAATATATATTATAAATTAAATTAATTTTAAAAAAAATTTTAATCTATCTTAGTCTTTTATTATTTTATTATTTAATTAATTTAGTTTAATTTTTTTTTAAATTTTAATCTTTGATAAATTCTTAATATTGATATTAATAATTAAATTATTTAAATTTATAATAAAAAAGATCTCTTTTAAATCCAATATATATTACCTTATTATCAAAAATTTTTTTTTTAGTCTATTTGATTAAAATATTTATTTTATTATTAAAGTAATTTTTTTTTATAGATTTTAATTTTAATTTTTTAATTAAATTCTTAATCTTTATTTAAAATAATTAATTAATTATTTTAATCTATCCTTTTAATATTATAAAGAAATATAAACTTTTTTAATTAATTTATAATTAGATTAATATGATATATTTTTATTGTATATATTAGTGTTCACAATTTTGATCTGAATCTGAATGATTCGTGAATTGTATACAAATCAGATTGAATCAAATTTCAAAATTTTTAATCCAATTGGATTCGGATCAAATCAAATTTTAAATTTATAAAATTATCAGATTCAAATTGAATGCAGGTCAAATTCAATCAGATTCAAATCAGATTCAGATCAAATCCAATATAATTCAAATCAGATATATACCAGTTCATATAAATTGTTATAAAATTATTTAATTTCATTTAAACAAATTATCTAGGAAATTAAAATAGTTTTTTTTTTTAAAAAAAAAATAATATAAAAAGCAAGTTAAAAAAAATTCACTACTTTGCTCTTCTTGATAATTTTTTAATATTTCTTTGTGATATTATAGTTTTGCTACTTAATTACTTTCATCATATCCTTTGCTTT